TAAAGAGAGAGACCGGGAGGCCTCCCGCCCCCACCCCTGGCGGGTCCCAAGGCTGTGCAGACACCGACTAGGCTGATGTACCACAGTTTTCTCAGGACAGTTTCCTCCTCCCATTTGACCTCTTGCTATACCCCTCCCCCATCGTGTCCTCACAGACAAGAGATTTATATGGACAAAAAGAGAATTCCTCCTAGCAAGGTTTTGCCCAGGAGGGTCTGATTCTGCCTATTGTCCCAGGGGCTCCTGAAGCCAGCTGGGGTGAGGAGGTGGCTGGACCAGAAGGAAAGTTGAACTTGGGAGTTGAGGAAGCCTAAGTGTCTGACATAGGTCACTGTGTCCCAGAGCCTGAGCTCTTGGCTTTTAAGCTGCTCTGTTGTATCGGATGGGCTCCTGCTCTGTGAAAAGGAAGGTGCTGTATCAGTGCCACTCTCCTCTCCTCGAACATTGCCTCTTCAGCTAACCTCTTCCCCCTCCAACCTGTCCTTTCACAGAACTGAAATACTAGAGACCCTCGGCTGTCAAATACTGGACCCTATCCCTATACCTTTCAACCCTGGACTGCCTCTTTACCAGTCCTGGTTCCAGACAGCCACCCCAACCTGGGAGCAACCCCTCTCCTCACTGTGGATTTGTGTTTTCATAAACAAAGCTGGCCTTTGTAGTGTGTGCTGAGTTATTCATAACATGGAATTAGCTAGGGAGTTTAGTCTGAAGGAAGGAACAGATTTCATGAAGTAATCTAGAGACAAGATAAGGGCCAAGTTGAAGCCAGTGTCTGTAGTGGTCTAGTGAGGCTGGGGACCAAAGGAGAAGCAGTGTATTCCAGGGGGGCCTGGGGGCAGATGGAGACCCCTCCAAGGGACAGGTGCCATCAAACCAAGGCACTCAAGTATGGGAGATCAGCCCATCATTCAGGGATGGGAGTCAGAATCCCTCCGTGGTACTCCAGGGCTCCCACTTTCACTGGGCTCCCTGCTGGGTACGGAGGAAAATGCTGCCAGAGTGGAGACTCCTGCCCTCAAGGAACTTATAGAAGAGTAGTTTTGTCCCCAGCTTATTTCATTCACAGACCACCCTTGCTGTGACTGGACTGCAGTTAGCTTGGCATCGTCCTTCTTTTCTGATACCTAAGCCTGGCCTAGAATGGAAGCCTTTCATTGACTCTTCTCTTCAGGAAATCTACAAACCCCATCTGCCAGAGATTGCCTAATAGCAGGTTTGCTGGGTTACAGGGATGTCTCTGGACACAAATTTGCTGGCAGATCCTGCAGGAAGAACTGGTACTAACCAGGTGGGGCAGCCTTACCACCTTACCCATAGACAGAGTCTGTGGGCATCAGGGAGGTCTTGCCTTCAAACATACCTCCTGGTTATCAGCAGTGCCACAAAGTGTGCCTTTAATGCCACATGCTTTATATGAATCACTAGCAGATCTTTAAAATCAAATACCCTTGGCAAGTATCTTGCATGGAGTTACTATACCTCTGGGGATATCTGGGTTTCTGTCCCTTTTCATCACAGATTCCCAAAATGGGAAAACCAAAGTCATGTGGAAGTTGGGAAGGAGGGAGACAAGGAAGGGAGCCCTAAGTGTAAAGGTGAGTGTGCAAGTGTACACACATGAGAAGTTCACCACAATCACCCAGAGGCAACATAGCTGGATGTCTGTGTTTCTTGCAATGTAGTTACTAAGGGTAAACTGCTGTTTTAGTGGGAGAACCGTGTGGAAGAGTGGGTGGGTAAGCCTGTGTGACTGGGAGGGAGGGAGCATGAGGGGACAGGGTTTTGAGTGTTTTTCAAGTGCTTGTCTGTATATTTTAAAGTAGACAGACTGGATAACCAAGATAATTGTTAACTTAAAAGCATTAATTTGCTTTGCTGGTAGGGGGGTGGGTGTGTATGGGGGGGGCACAGTGGTTAAAAAGACCTAATCCTCGCATAGGGCTCAGGTTACAACTGAATGAAAAGGTCTCTAGGCCTCCAGGGAAACTTGTCCTCAGGGCTGGCTCCAGGAGAGCCAGGCTGGCCGTTTAGTTTACCTGGTAGTTTTCTCTCCTTGTTAGGGATAGAGTTTTGATAAAGTCATGCATTTAGAATTTCTAAGTAACACCATACCTGGGACTAAGACTGTTCATGTTGTGGCAAACAGTGTCTCTCTGTCTCGGTGTGTCTCTCTGGGTCTCTGTCTGGGTATATGTGTCTCTTTCTTTCCCCCACCGTTCTCTTCCTCTTTAATGTGGCTGTTTCCTCTCCTCCCAGCTTCCCTGGGCCCCTGTGGCCAGCTCTTACAGTGAGGGGACTGTTCCTCCTAGCCCCTCCCTCCAAAATATGAGATGAAAACCATAACCGTGTCAGCGGGTAAGGGTGGCCCCGTGGGCAGCCGGCTACTGCCTGTGCCCCATCCAGGCCACACTGGAGGGAGAGTCCCCACTCACAGCCTAATCTTTAGTCAGTCAGTTCCCTTTAAGCCCACCCCCCATTTTTTCAGAAAGTGGAGAAGGGAGTGGACTGCTTAGAAATTCCTCAGGAATCCCTTTGACCTCTCTTCTCTCGGTGACATGTCTCAGAGGTGGAGAAAGCCTGGGGGTGGGAGGCTACAGAGACTTTTCCCTGTTTTCAACCCCTTCTCATCTCCTTGAGTCTCTGCAGGGTGGAATAAAAGAAAGGGGACTAGAAGACATTAAGGCCAGAATTACTGCAGGCAGAGAAAGAAGACAGTCATCAGCAGCCCTCAAATGAGATTGTTTTCTGAAACTTTCAGGAATCTGAGAGCATGAGAACTGGTTTGAGATGTGAGCAGCTGGGACCTGTTGTAAAAGGAGCCAGCCCTGGGTGTGAGTTTGGGAATGTGAGGTGTGCATTCACTGGGGTGTGTGAATGTGTGTGCATAACTTGGGGTGTGTGTGTGTGTGTGCGCGCGCACACAGTGCTCTGGTGAGAGGAAAGAGGAAGTGGGGCAATGTGCGTTTTGTTTTAGTTGGAGAAGTAAAGAAGTGGAATGGCTTGGTCCAGTGCCTTGAACCGAGGACAGGGAAAGGGAACAAATGGCTTCAGACTTTTTGAGAAGATGGAGCTGGAAGAGCTTGCTACCTGAATCCATTCAGTCCTTGCCCCCAGCTCTGGTCCCCAAATGTCAGGGTGTGGGCCTCCTTTGACGTCCTGTATCCCTAGTACATGACCACTTATAAGAAAGAGTCCCTGTCAGGGCTGGAAACTGTGGCGCTGCTCTGAGGCTGGCAGTGCCCGCAAGAGGCCCAGACCTGGGGACAGCTTCTTCAGGCTCAGTTAGAAGACTGGAGTCTGGAAACAGAAGAACTGCTGGGCCTTGGGGATAGAAGCGAAACAACAGTCAACCCAGGGATGTTTGGAGGGTACAGGAGTTAAGTCATCTGGGCTAAGAGGGGACAGAGACTCCCTACTGGCCACTGGACATTGGACTGGCTATTCTCCTATTCCCATGCCAACCCAGTGTCAGCCTCAAGTGGCACTGGGGGTAGAGAGGCATATGGTGCCAGTGGGTTTAGACAAATACAGAGCCCAAGGATTTGAGCCTCTGAGGAGATCAATGAAATTCCTCTCTTCACTTGTAAGATATCAGTAGAGTTCCTTGCAGCTCTGAGATTATGTACATCTAATTGAAATCCTTCCTGCTGAAGGCTGAAGATGCTGTGGCAAGCCTCAGTCCTGACATGGGGCCTCCACAGGTTACTCACCCAAATCTCAGGCCCTCTCCTCCCTGGACACTGCTCCACTTCTGCCTGCATGAGACTAGATCACTTGGATACTCTTTCTTTCTTCCCCCACCCCAGTTTCCTGGAGCCCCAAGTAGCTGATAGTTCTTACTGTGTCCATAAGTGGGTATTTACCTCTGGAAATAGTCCCTGAAGAACACATGTGTTTTTGTGTATGTGTGTATCCAACAAAGTTGGGAAGTGGAGCTGGGCCCCAAGACTAGCTCCTAGCATGTTTCTGTCTCTGAGACTAGCTGTCTGTGTTCTGCCCTAGCCTAGACATGTCATCCTGCAGATCAAGCACTGTTCTGTAGTTGCTATTGGATGCTGTGCTTTTGCTGCACAAATGGGATGATGACCCCCTATATAGGGCACAGTGGTCCTTGCTCTTACCTATGGTTTTCCCTCTGGCTATAACCATAGCACTAGAGAGCTGTGGGGTTTGGATTTCTTCAGGTCTAGTCACTGACAGTGACAAGCTGAAGAAGGACTTGGGCAGGGGCTGCAGGGCTGGAGGGAAGATCCAGGATAAGGAAATAGATCTAAGGAATCCCTCCATAAGGTGGGAGTATCAGCATATGTGGAAACTGAGGGGAGGGCTGGGGAAGGGGAGTGCTTGAAGGGTAGACCCTGGGGAGCAGGTTTACAGAGAGGACATTTTTACAAGTTTCTAATTATATTTATTTGGAGTTTTCCTCTGGCGGTTTGAAGCTGTTAACAGCAGGAACCTGTATCCCTGGTGTTTGTTTTTGTTTCTAACCAGCTGCTTGGCCCCAGCATATGAATCCAAGGGCAGGCAACACCTGCCCACTGCTGCACCACCCACCCTTTCCTTCTTGCAACTGTGTCTGCACCCTCCCTGCCCACTACTTGGCTCTGCTCTCTTGTGCTGCTCCCATGCCCAAAGCCTCAGAGCATCAGCATTCCCACTGCTGATTTCCTCCCCAGATCATCCACATTTCAGCTCCTTCCATTTCCATGGTTATGTACTGGATACATGCTTCATGCTGAACTAAGTGCTGAGTGGGAGTTGGGGGAGGTACAACAATGACTAAGGCATGGATTTCCTCCCTCAAGTGCTTAGAGAAGACAGTGGGTAGTGAGAGAGCACTGGATTGGGAGTTTGAAGATATGTATCCTGGCTCTACACTAGCTGTTTGCTCTTTCCTGAGATAACCTCACTGGGCTTCAGTTTCCTCATCTGTTCAATGAGAGAGAACAGTTTGAAGACCAAGTGAACCAACCTGTGTGAAAAAACTGTACACTTCATGAAATTATACAAATCTAAAATGAGTTTATTTTTGCAATTAATTTAAAGAGATGATAATAATAATAATCACAAAACCAGAATCTACCCATGCCCACTGGCTACCTCCCTGCCCCTCACTCCACAATGTTCTGTTCTTCCCCCATTTCACTACCCATCCTCTAAAAGCCTCTGACTCAGGGTTGTTGATTTTGTCCATACTGAAAGGGAGAAAATTCTTGTCCAATTAGGGTTACATTCAAATGATCAAGGAGCTAGATTAGGGGTAAGGCAGAACATCAGAGAGAAACTTATCAGGGTCTCAAGAGAGTGACAAGGTTCTGAGGTTCAGCCCGCTCCCCTCCAAATCACCAAACACCAACAGCTTTTCCTGGCTACTCAGCTGAGCAAGCTAAGCTTGAGTGAGAGGAGAGGATACTTTTTTTAAAAGGAGAAAGTGCCCTGTCTCCTCCTTGGAATCAACAGGTGGTCATTTGTGTGGTTTTCTGGACTTTTCTAGGCCACCCTCATCCTTGCATAAGCTTTTTCCAGACTGAGAATGGGCCCAGGCTCTAGCTGAAGTCACATTGACTCAGCCAGTCCCAAACTGGGAAGACAGCCTGGTACTCCAAACTCTGCCAATCTCCTTGGCTACTATTTTGATCTGGAAGTAGATATGCACACATGTGGGTACGTGTGCATGTGCTATAGGTTAGGATATCACAGCCCAAGCCTGGGCTGGTTCTATTTTGGATGGTTTTTTTTTTTTGTTTGTTTGTTTTTGAGACGGAGTTTTGCTCTTGTTACCCAGGCTGGAGTGCAATGGCGCGATCTTGGCTCACCACAACCTCCGCCTCCTGGGTTCAGGCAATTCTCCTGCCTCAGCTTCCTGAGTAGCTGGGACTACAGGCACGTGCCACCATGCCCAGCTAACTTTTTGTATTTTTAATAGAGACGGGGGTTTCACCATATTGACCAGGATGGTCTCGATCTCTTGACCTCGTGATCCACCCGCCTCAGCCTCCCAATGTGCTGGGATTACAGGCTTGAGCCACCATGCCCGGCCTCTAATTTGGATGTTACTTAGATGTAGCAACTTAAGAAATGAGAATGAGGGAACTCACCGGGGGCAAGCAGTGGAATGCCTGTTTCAGGCGTCCCATCATTGGGTGTTTAGTTAGCATAGAGGCTGGGGAACATCTGTTGATGGGGATGCTCTGAAAAGATCCCTATAGCAGTCCCACATGATGTCTGAAGACTCTGAGACCCTGTGACTCATTGGTCCCAGTCTCTTCTGGCCCCAGCATACATCAAATGGATGCCTTTAAGTAAGTACTACTCCTCTTTGAGTTTCCTCTCTCCCTACTCTTCACTTAAGACTAAACTTCCTGGGACTTTCCTCCACCCAGAACAGATGTGGGATCATAGGAAAGAAGTGAGATTTTTCTCTGAGGTAACGTAGAGCAGAAGGGAGGCCACAGATAGACCAATCCACTTACCACTAAGCCATCCATCTCTCCATCCACTTGCCTAGCTGTTTAACATATATTTACTAAGTGCCTTCAACAAAGAATTCATCACTTGTTCACTGACAAATCCCCAGCACCTAGCACAGTGCTTCCCATGTTGGAGGTGCTCAATACTATTTTTTTTCTCTCTCTCTTCTGTATAAAACTTTATGAAATAAAGGCAAAAGATATTTTGCTGGAAAATGCTGCCCAGGAATCTGGAGATGGTGGCTGCCAGAGCTCCCTTTACTGTCCAGGTCCTGAAAGACTCTTGTTCATGAACTGTCTCTTCACAAAGCAAGTCCACCACTTGTTGGGTTTATCATTCTGAGGGTCGAAAACTTTCTCACAAAGTCTCAGTCCAGTCTCTTGCCTTAGCTGTTGTAAATAGGCTCTCATCACTTCATCTTCCTGTTTGTTTGCAGGTTTGGCATAAATCGCATTAAGTGGAAAACCAGGCTCTCCAGGAATGGGAAAATTAGTGATTCCCAATGTATACATTTCTTTCTCACCTTGGCTTTTGGAATTGCACTTTTGGAGTTTCTTCAGACACTCAGAAATGTAGAGAGTTATAGATATCAAGGTCCTATCAGCTTCATTCTTAATTTCATAGTTCTTGAAGAAGACATTGGCCTTGAAGTAATAGATGGCTTCACCCACAATATCTGTATCTTTTGTCTCTCTGGGGGCAGGTCCTTTGAATTGACTTCTGATAGGTAACAGTGCCATGTTTCCAATGAGTTTGGTGTCAGGATCCACGAGAGAAGAGTGGTAAGCCGGCATCTTAGCAGCGCCCGAGTTTCAACCCAGAGGAGCAGGATCTAGCTCCAGCGGTGCGCTTCCGGTCTGCTCAATACTATTTATTGAGTGAGTGAATGAATGCTCAGCTCTATTCCAGTTGCTGCATGGGTTTCAAAGCTCTAGGAGCCATGGCCTCAAGGAGCTTACAGCTTCAGTAGGAAAATTATACCCATGAATTAAAAGTTAAATAATGCTACAAGGTAACATATGAGGTATCACAGGCCTGGGATTGATCAGGTGACCAGAGAGCCTGACAGTAAAAGTCTTAGGAGTGAAGAGAAAGAGTAGATCAGAGAAGGCTGGTAGTGTCACAGGGAGTGTCCCAGCAGAGGCATCTGAACTGGGTCCTCAAGGACATTTAAGGAGAGGAAAACAGCAGAGTGCGGTACACACACCATATATCCTGGGCTAGACTGGCTGGGCCGAGAATGTCACAGCCATGTGGGTGGGTACATTAGGGCACTAGACAGGCTGTTTCTGACTGTCCCTCTGAGCCCACCAAATTTGCCCACAACTACCACCACCCCTGTGGGTGATAAGGTAATTACTCTGGTGATGGAAAGGTGGGGTGGACTCTACCTAAGGGGTCTGCTTGTCCACAGCTGGCATCCCTACTTATTTCTATTTGTTACTATTCCTGAGCTGGGCCTGGGCAAACTTGTGAAGTAGATGAAGTATGTCCTCAGAAATCCCACTGCTTCCTTTTTTAGGGTACACCTGCCCATTCTCAGAATCTTAGGACTGCTTATGTTATAATAATCCACCCTTTCTGGTCTGACCTTCTGACCCTCATATCCCCTACCCCATCATACCCTTCCTACTTACATTTAGGAGAGTTTATGGAGTGCTCTGCTAGGCATTAAAGCAAATTCAGAAGAAATGCCAGATGCTGCTGGGGAACGCTGCTGTAGTTACAGACCTGTGCCTTTGTTCCAGGACAGGGCGAGGCAGGGAGGTCCTGGCTTGCCTATGGTATCTCTGCAGCCACCACTCTCCCCCACTTCAACTTTGGTTCCAATGCATGGCATGAGGTAGGTAGATGAGGTCTCTCTAACCTTCAAAAAGAATTACAGAGGGCAGTTTTTGGGTTCCCAACTGGCCTCTCACCCACTTCACCCCTACCCTTTGGGTAGTTCCCAGCACAGGTAGAGTAAGCAGCGGGGATGTGTCTCCCCAAATCCTCCCACCAACAGATGCTGCCCTGGTGCTGCATTTCCTCACGCCAGGCCTAAAATGGGACATTGAGAGGGGAAAGGGAGTTCAGAAAGGATACAGGGAGAAAGCTGGAGAGGAGTAATAGTAGCAAATCTTGGTCACACATGGTGGCTCACACCTGTAATACCAGCACTTTGGGAGGCCAACATGAGAGGATCGCTCAAGTTCAGGAGTTCAAGACCAGCTTGGGCAATACAGTGAGACCCTGTCCCTAAAAAGAATTTTTAAAAATTAGCTGGGCATGATGACACATGCATATAGTCCCAGTTACTCAGTAGGCTAAGATGGGAGGATCACTTGAGCCCAGGATTTTGAGGTTGCAGTGAGGTGTGTTCATACCATTGCATTCCAGCTTGGGCAAGCAGAGCAAGACCCTGTCTCTGTTTCAATAATAAAGGGAAAAAAAGCAAGTGCTTTGTTGAGCACTTGCTGTATGCCCAGACTGTGGTGCTAAGTACTTGATGGGCATAACTCATCTGATGTTCCTGGAAGCCCCATGGGGAGGTACTATGATTAGTATTATTCTCACAGAGGAGGAAACTGGTAAGTTCAGAGGCTGGCCCAGGACCACACAAATACAGGTAGAGCTAGCATTTGAACTAACAGTGTTGCTGCAGAACCCCTCTCTTAACTACTCTGCCATGTGGCTGCCCCTGGTCTTTTCCCAGCTTTGGCAAATAGTTTATTTGCATTACCTGAGTTGGGAAAGGAAGACAGATAGTGGCCCCAGCCTCGCCCGGAGATCCTGATTCCGCTGGTCTAGGGGGCACTTGTACATTCATATTTTTTCAAAAAACCCCGGGGAATTCCAGTGTGCAGCCAGGGTTGAGACCACCGGTCTAAACCAGTCCATACCCAATGGCATCAGCTGGTTTGCCAGCTAGTAAACACTTGCATCCTGAGAAAACACTAAGATGAAACTGTGCTGTGAGTGTTGAAGGGTCCTTGCAAGGACAAATTCTGGATGGGCACATATGGTAGAAAGGAGCTCTGGAAGAAATGAGTGGCAAAAAGAGGAGACGCTGGATATAATGTGGGGCCCTCTTTCACAGCTCTTAGGTCTGTTCTGCATTGAAAGAATCCGACCAAACATTGAAGGGACAGGTATCCAGCCAAGTGAGGAAAGCTGAACATGTTTAAAGTATTAGCGGAGCAATTCAGTGACAGATGTAAATGAACTGAGGAAAACAGTCCCCTTGGACCAGGAACTCACCAGGATCAGGGCTTACAAGGAAGAGCTTTTGGGAAGACAATTTTGAGCCAGAATGGAAAGCTGAGCATAGCGTGGCTGGAAGAGAAAAGTAAGGAGTGCATCTGCAATGTGAATAATGAGATATGTGCAAATGCATGGAAAGGAAAAGGATCGTTAGGTATTATAGAGAGAACAGGAAGAGAGAAAGTCTTCCAGAGCAGAGACTCTTTGCTGGAGAACAATAAGCATTGTGAGCAGGGAGATGAGGGAGAGGGGTTAATAACATGGTAGAAGAAATCTGGCTGTAGATGGGGTCTAAAGAATCTGCAGCCAGATGCAATGGCTCACGCCTGTAATCCCAACACTTTCGGAGGCCAAGTCAGGCAGATCACTTGAGGTCAGGAGTTTGAGACCAGGCTGGCCAATGTGGCAAAACCATGTCTCTACTAAAAATACAAAAATTAGCGAAGTGTAATCCCAGCTACTCAGGAGGCTGAGGCAGAATTGCTTGAATCTGGAAGGCAGAGGGTTGTAGTGAGCCAAGACCACACCACTACTGTACTCCAGTATGGACAACAGAGCAAGACTCTGTCTCAAAAAAAAGAAAAAAAGAATCTGGGGGTGGGGCAGGTAAAAAAACAAAAAGAATCTTCTAGGAGTCCTGAGTTTGTGGTGATCAGCATGAAGATCCATTCTAGTACTGGTGAGCACTGAATGGGAGGCAAAGGGAAGAACTGGGAGCCCATATAGCCTGACAGAGTCTTAAAGTACCAGCTAATTCAGAGACAGGCACATACCTCTGATAAGGCCAGGGGAGCAGTTCCAGACCAATCTCCATGCTGCTGGACCCAGGGAGTATCTCATATTCAGAACCCCAGAGCAGTGCTATCCAACAGAACTTTCTGTGGTGTTGGAAATGTTCCATATCTATGCTTTCCACCATGGTAGCCTCTAGCCACATGTGGCTATTGAGCATCTGTTCTGTAGCTAGTGCAACTGAGGAAGTGAATTTTAAATTAAATAACCACATGTGGCTAGTGGCTGTATATTGTCCTAGAGCATCTGTTGCCTGGCCAGTGATTGAATACCATCTCAAGCTTCCTGTATGGGACCCCACTGTTTACCAGATACTTTATTAGGCAATTTACACAAATTATCCCATCAACTACTCACAGCCTCTCATGAGGAGATATTATCATCCCCATTTTAAGGGGGAGGACATGGAGAATAAGAAAAGCATCCCTAGAGAGGGGTAGAGCTGAATTTGAATCTGGGACCAACTGGTTTCAGTGCTTATGATTGTTCTGTGATAGCACATTTCTTTGTATTGTTTTTATCAGTGGGACAAACTGATTCTCCAAGGAGCCTCTTACCATCTATGAGGTTTCTCTTGCCTTTACCTATGAACTAGTCTTCCATGCCCTCTCTTTTCTATTCTTTCACTGTGGGTATCTACCTGCTGGCCCACCCACTTCTCAGGGTGGGCCAGCAGGTAGACACCATAACTAGAGAGCCTGAGCGAGGTGGAGAGTAAGTGTAGACAGAGGCTTCCAGCACTGAAAATCACCAGGCATGATGGTTGGCTGCAGAGGAGTTGAAGGGTAGAATGCAGGGCTGAACGGAAGCCTGTGAGATTTGAAGCAGGGTGTTTGGAGATTTCAGTTCTCTTCATAGTGCCAGGAAGCTTCAGAGTATAAAAGCAGAGGACAGATAACTGTCTCAAGCTGGGTATCTATAAATTGGAGAGAATATTGGTCCATGCATCCATTCACTCAATAAAAATATCAATCACTTAAGGATTTGGATTCAAAAAGGCTAAAATGAGTCCTCAGAATATGCATTTTAACAAAATCCAAGCAAGTTTATGGCCCATATATCATATTTGGATGTCAAATTGTCTTGGTTTCAAATCTCATCTCTTTTACTTGCAGGCTGCTACTTAAAATACTATTTTGGGTTTCCCAGTTTACAGCCGGAAGTAGTCTTTCTCCTCTGATCTGCCCTGTAACACAGGTTCTCAACCTTGACTACACATCAGAATAACTGGAAGAGCTTTAGAAAAATACTGATGGCCAGGTATCAGTCCAGGCTATTTGACCAGAATCTCTGGGGATGGGGCTTGGGCATCTCCTAGGAGAGCTGACTCTGATATACAGGGTCAAGAACCGCCTCACCTTATCTCTCATGCCTTCAGGGCATGTACCACATCTTGCTTCATGTTTTTTGTTTCTTCTTTTGGCTGGGCTGAGTCACCTTTGAGCCTCCACAGCCATCATTATAATGCCTTTCACAAATTCCCAATAAGGCATTTTCAACTGAATAACACGTTTCTCTATTTCAGTTCAGATTTAAGGGCACCATAATGTTGACCCAGAAGTTGGAATCTTTTGCCCAAAGACTCTTTTCTATGTCCTTCCTTAATCATCTTCTTTTTGCTAGATCACGAGTGGCCTCTTCAAGTATAGCTCTGTGTATAGTACCTATTGTTAGAGCAAGGACCAGGAGAGAGAGGAACATTGAGGGTTAGGGCCTCAAGGGCTGCACTTATTAGGCTCCTAGTAGCTGGTGCTAACCTCTGCCAGCTCCAGATGTCTCCATTGTGGGCAGCACAAGGGCTAAGAAAAATAATCCAAGATGGAACATTTTTCCTGTAAAGCTTCTTGGAGCCATGGTGGGCAAATGGAAGCAGGCCTGATCTCTAGCAGAATCATGAGACAGATGAAGACCCCTCAGATGCCCCATCCCCCTTTCTTCCTCCTTTACCAATGGCTGCTGGACTCTGCTACCTTCTCAGAGGCCACTGTTCCCATGCCTTTTCCCTTAACCCTCCCTCCCTCTAAGCCTGCTTCTAAGATAAACTCATTCACTTTAAGTTGATTATTCCTAATCAAGTTAAATATACTGCCCACTCTGAGGGTTGTCTGTTTTCAAATAAAAGAATGTTTCAAATGATGGAGTTTTAGCTGTTACTGTGGATTAAGTATTTTTTTTTTTTTTTGAGATGGAGTTTCGCTCTTGTTACCCAGGCTGGAGTGCAATGGTGCGATCTCGGCTCACCACAACCTCCGCCTCCTGGGTTCAAGCAATTCTCCTGCCTCAGCCTCCCGAGTAGCTGGGACTATAGGCGTGCACCACCATGCCCAGCTAATTTTTGTATTTTTAGTAGAGACGGGGTTTCACCATGTTGACCAGGATGGTCTCGATCTCTTGACCTCGTGATCCACCCGCCTCGGCCTCCCAAAGTGTTGGGATTACAGGCGTGAGCCACCGCGCCCGGCCTGGATTAAGTATTTTTGAGGGCAGGGGGTTCTTTCTGAATTCCTGAAATCAGTGTCTGCCCACTCTGAAGTCAGAGGGATGTGGGACAGCACCTGTTTCTGGAGGGGTCACTGCCTCTGTTTAGAGAAGAGGGGATTCCACCATGGAAGCCCACCTTCAAGATACCCCTTGAGAGGTGCCAACAGAGGTTCTCATGTGCCCCCTCTGCTCCTGCCAGATGTGGATGAGTGTGTGGAGGGGACTGACAACTGCCACATTGATGCTATCTGCCAGAACACCCCAAGGTCATACAAGTGTATCTGCAAGTCTGGCTACACAGGAGATGGCAAACACTGCAAAGGTGAGGCTATGAGGGTACCTGGAGGAGAGGGACCTGTGGAAGAGGGCAAACCAGTGCCACTGCCCTCAGTTGGCCACTCTCAATCACACCAAGGCTAGAAATTCCACTGGTCAAGTGGGGCAGGTGAGGGGGCAACTACATCTTCCCAGAGAGGGTACCATTTTCTAATTTGCACAAAGGCACCATGCAGGCTAGCAGAAGCCCTGGTAGGGACAGTTCACAGCCTTTCTGGGGTAGGAGCCTAAGAATTATGGAACTAAGGCCTGAGGTTTCCTGGCATTGGAACCTTTATCTTTAGACCCTTACACCATGCCCACAGTGGAAGGGAAGAGACAGTATGCTTCAGAGGAAGTTCATAATTTAAACCCATCTTCCCCTTATAATTAAATCAATACAAATTAGTCTTGAGATATTATATTTATGAGCTTCAGTGTTGGTAAGACTTTTAGTGGACAGGGTAAACCTAATTCCTAGTTGCATTATAATTGAAAAGTAATTTTGTAATACCTACAAGGAATCTTCAAAGGTATTTATTTCCTTTGATCCAGGAATTTTACTCTTGGGGATTTATTCAAAGAAATGATATAATATATGGGAGAAGATGTTCTTTGATGCATTATCTATGATGGTAAAAATAAATGAAAGAAATCTAAATGTCTAACAATAGAGAAAAAAGTTATGAGAATAGAAAAATAATATTCTGCAACCATGTACAATGGTAATTAGAAAGACTGGTTGGAGACATGAAAATGTTTATGACTTAGGCTTAAATGAAAACACCAAAATGCTAAATGCTTATAGGATATAAACATAACTACATAAACACAACCATAAGGCTGAGTCTGGGGGTGGACAGTGGGTTCACAGGTAGGTTCAGCTGTCTTAGCTTCTCTTTGCCCACAGACGTGGATGAGTGCGAGCGAGAGGACAATGCAGGTTGTGTGCATGACTGTGTCAACATCCCTGGCAATTACCGGTGTACCTGCTATGATGGATTCCACCTGGCACATGATGGACACAACTGTCTGGGTAAGCAAAGGAGAGGGGATTTGGGGGAGGGTTGTCTTGTGAAGAAAGAGGTCTTTTCAGTATTTCCTATTTCTCAGGGAAGGAAGAGAAAGTGATCAAAAAGAGCTACATTAACAAGAGAATAAGGTCAGCCTCCTTTTTGAGACTAGCCACTTAAGATGAAAAATCCTGCTGGATGAAAAACATCAGAGGAGAAGCTGCTATGAAATGCTCCTAGGGCAAGGGCCAGGAGATGGGAATAGTGGGCTTAGCCAGTGGTGAGGCATGTTAGAAAGCTGATTTGGCTCCACACAGATATCTTGGTTCTGCTGCTTACTAGCTTTGAGTCTTGGGAATATTAGTCAGTCTCTGGAAATCTCAGCATTCTCTTCTCTAAAATGGGGGTGGGACCAGGTGTGATGGCTCACACCTGTAATACCAGCACTTTGGGAGGCCGAGACAGGAGGACTGCTCAAGCCAGGAGTTCAAGACAGGCCTGGGCAACATGGTGAGACCCTGTCTCTACAAATAATAATAATAATAATAAATAAGTCAGTTGTGGTGGCACACAACTGTTGTCCCAGCTACTTGGGAGGCTGAGGTGGGAGGATCGCTTGAGCCCAGGAGGTCGAGGCTGCAGTTAGCCGTGACTATGTCACTGCACTCCAGCCTGGACAATCTTATCTCAAAAAATAATAATAAAATAGAATAGGGGTGGTAATAACCCACTCAAAGGCTGCTGTGTGGATCACCACAAGACAACATGTGAAAAGAGCCCTGTACAATCCTTAGCACATAGTAGCTGCTCAGTAATGGGAAGAATATTGATGATGATAAGGGTGCATCCCTATGCCCTAGGGAGCCTCTGCCCCTTACAGGCTTATTTTCTTCCAGTTCTTCCTGCAATCTCGTCTCACCTTCTCCTCACTGATCTCCTTTGTCCCAGGAGCTGATCAGAGATAAAAGAATCTTTAAGGAACTGAACTCAACTTTAGTCTCTGTCATTTTGGAAAATTACTGGGACAAAGTCAGTCTCTTCCCCAAGTAGAAAATCTGAAACTCATAGCAGAAAAGGATTTGAAATTTGAACCCAGGGCCTTCTCCTAAACTCCTTCTTCCTGTAGCCACAACAGAAAACAGGCAATAGAAGCATAAAGGACCAGAAAAGGAAGAGAAACAAGAGGAATGATGCCCAGAAAAGCAGGCTGGGCTGGTCCCCATCCACCAATTGACCAAACAGATGAATTCTCTGAAGTCCTATTGGCTGAGAAGAGTCTCCTTACTGCAGAGCTGCCTCCAAACCCAGTCATACCCCAACCTTGGACCCAGGCTAAAGGTTTCTACACCCAACCCAGGCCTCCAAATCCTGATACCTGCTGGGCCCTTAATCCCAGCCCTGGTCACTTCTCCTACCATTTTAGCTTCTAGGGAAGGGCCTCATTTCTATCTGCCCAATCACTCTTGAGGGCCTCTTATGAAACTCCTTTGGGAAGGGAAGCGGTGGCACTTAGACCAGGACAGTAAGTTGCCTACAGGACACACACATGAGCTTTTGAGTTCTTTGGCCACCTTTGACTTTTCTAGGCCCTGATTCTCACCACATCTTGTTTCCCTGTAAGTGTTTTTGGGAGAACCAACTAGAGGGACAAGAGAATGATTAGGTATAGAGAGAGTCAAGGGACAAAGATTACCTATGGTTAGGGTTCAAAGTCTCAGTACTAACTTTGGCTCTTAGGGGAATCTTGAGAGAGTTGTCCATGCTCTGGGCCTCAGTTTCCCTACTGATAATTGGAGGAAAGAGCTTGGCTAGAGTAGCAAAGCTACAAGGTTAGATGGTAAGGGAGCAGACAGAAGGATGGAATGTAGGATGTGGCAAGAGCAGGAAGACAGGGATGGGGAGAAGTCAAGAGAATAGCAAAAGTTAGGGCGGAGACAGGAGCAAAGCCCAGTAAAGTATGCCTTAGCTCTTCTAACTGGTGTATTGCTCAGGCAAGAGCCAGCTGGATCTGGGTCTCTCTGCCCTGGCCAGAACGGGGAAGAAATGGTTTCAGGATCTCAGCAGAGAGGATGGGAAGAGAGGGGCAGATGAGGCCCTCAGGAGCCCAGATTCTAACTGCTCATTTGATAACCAGTCTACCTGTTGCCTCTGTGGGTAAGGCAAACTGAGAAGGGCCATGGACTTGGGAGGGCAGTAACTAATGTAGAGATGGGGTCAAGATGTTGAATTGAGGGCCCCAGGGTAAGCCTGGCTCTTGAACCTGGGGGTGGTGGTTTGGGGATGAGAGCCTACTGTTCTCCCTATCCCCTCCACCTTCACCATCTAGGGTGTGGCATAGCAGCTCTCCCCAGATCCCTCCCTGCCAAGCTGCCACTTTGTTTTGTTAAACCAAAATAGGAGAAAGGCTAGGGATATGGCAGCAAGCCCAGGCATGGGGGCAGTGGAGGAAGGATGGGGCCGTGGCCTGTTGACAGAAATGGTCCCTGCCCCACAAGAAGTTGAGGCTCAGCTGCCTTTCCTCACCCTACCCCTCCAACCTCAGCACCATGGCCATAGCTCTCTCTGCACCCAGAGCCACTTCCCAGGTTCCTAGATTCCCTGGCTGCCCATCGCAACCAGCTGCCACCCCCAGTTACCTCTCTCCAACCAATGTGACCAATCTCTATCCTTACCATCATCACTGTTCCTCTTGCTCTGGCTTCTTTCCTGATGTCCTCTGTCCTCATACCCAGTTTCCACAGGTGACGGAAAGAGAGGCATGGCATCACCTAGGTGACATTTGAGATTCAAAGGTCTTCTTGTCCCCTACTTGCTTAGCTTCCCAGTTCTGCCCTCAGGGCAGCCTCTTCTCACTTAGTGGAATATTAGCTGACAAGGGTGTGAGGACTTCCTGGCTTAAGGCTGGGCTTATGGGGTAGTAATTCTTAAGACTGCCTTTGGTGCTGAAGTATTGGGATACAACCTGGAGCCTGCCTGCACCCATGGCCCCACTGACTACCTATCCTGCACAGATGTAGACGAGTGTGCCGAGGGCAATGGTGGCTGTCAGCAGAGCTGTGTCAACATGATGGGCAGCTATGAGTGCCACTGCCGGGAAGGCTTCTTCCTCAGCGACAACCAGCACACCTGTATCCAGCGTCCAGAAGGTCAGCCCATGACCTGGGATGGCCCCCTCCCTACCCTCCCAAGGCTTTTCTTCCCAGCTGTCCCTCAACAGCCCCTAAGTCTCACCCTCCATTCTCAACTCAGCTAGCTCCTTCTCTTGTCCTTTAACTCAATAACACCCTAAGGGATCCAGGAACAGCCACCCTGTTAGGGCAAACTCTGGGGAAATTACCTTGAATTGGGGTCAATATGGGATTAGGACTACTATGGAGTATCTTCTCCATAGTACAGGCCCGAGGTGAACGTTGTTCCTAATTGGAGGTGGCTGAGCTTCTCTAACTGCTGCCTATCTGAGAGGACCTCATCAGTGCCTTCTTCCTTGGATTGGCCTGGCAGGGTCAGGCAGGAATAATGGGGTATATATTGTCTGTTTCTATGACTCATGCCCTTACTCCCACTAGACTATGACATCCCTGAGGGAAGAGACTAAATGTCTAATTCATCATTACATCCCCAGCACCTAACATACTGGCCTGCATGTAGTGTGAGTTTAATAAATGTTTGTTGAATAAAATTGCATAGTAAGTATCTATACCAATTATCCTCCCTAGGTTCCCAGTTGCCCCTTCTGGTCGCCTCCACTAGACATCCAGGGGCACAGAGCATTCACCCCCCTTTTCTTCTCTTTTAGAAGGCATGAATTGCATGAACAAGAACCATGGCTGTGCCCACATTTGCCGGGAGACACCCAAGGGGGGTATTGCCTGTGAATGCCGTCCTGGCTTTGAGCTTACCAAGAACCAACGGGACTGTAAATGTGAGATAATTGAGATGGCAGTTGGGGGAGTGGGGTCGGGGATAAAAACAAAGAGAAGGGGTATAGGGCTTCAGGAGCAAGAGGACAGGGTTAGGAGGAAAAGGGAGTATGGGGGAGGCAACTAGGCCAGAGGGCCAGTACCCACACTGTGGAAAACTGTGGAATCCAGGGAGGAGCAAGCTGACAGACCTCTGTCCTCTCTGTGCATAGTGACATGCAACTATGGTAATGGTGGCTGCCAGCACACGTGCGACGACACAGAGCAGGGTCCCCGGTGCGGCTGCCATGTCAAGTTTGTGCTCCATACTGATGGGAAGACATGCATCGGTGGGTGAGACCAAGGGAGAACTCCGTCTACCTGAGATGGGGGTGGGGGTGGGGGTGGGAGCCCTTGGGAACCAGGGAAGTGGAGGAGTACATGTGCCCAGATGCTGGGCACATAGGGCCTGGTGAGGGAGTTAAGACCCCAGACAATGCCAGGTCTAGTGAGGGACAACTCTAAGAGAAACTGAAGGCTCATTTGCCCTCTTCCCCTCCCCATCCTACTGGTTTTACCACCCTGTCCCAGGAGCCTCACCACCCTCTTCATCCCAGAATAAAGTGTTGCTAAACTGGGAATAATTAGCAGAGTTGCTTATTGAGCAAGGCTGTGGTTGAGAAGTGGGAAGAGAGCTGGGAAAATGCATCACTTAGGCCTGTCCAGAAGCCCTTGGTTGACTAGTGTGATAAGAGAGGAATTGTCAAAGCCCAGTGTCCCCACTCTTCAACTGAGGGTGGGACAGAATGTTCCTTCCTAGAACAACCATCCCTGAACGGACAGATGGGGTTTCCGGGCTTCAGGTGTTTTTCCTCTTCATTTTTTCTCTCCTCACTCTCCTCCTGCAATTCCCCTTTCTGCTCACCTCACCCTAGTCCCCATTTCCTTCTCTCCTCCATATGCCAGTGGTACTCCATCTCAGCTCCACCAGCAACCCTCTTTCTTCCTCGCCAACTCCAGCCTTCCATCTCTCACCTTGATTTGCGGTCCTCTTAATACCCGGATCCCTCTTCCTGAATTCCTAGGCCTCATCTCATACATTTTCAGGTACCCTAGATCAATTTAATTCCTTTAATTCCTAATTCCCTCAGCCTTTAGGTCTTTAGTGCTGAGAAAGACGATGGGATAAGATATCCCCTTGGAGAAGTGGAAAATGAAGAGATTTGGCAGAGAGAGAGGCTGTGTCTTTAGCCAAGCAGGGCACAAGCTTGCTGTGTAGGCATAGGTGTTTATGAATGACTGTCCATCTGGTGGGCTGCAGCATGCTGAGGATGGGGAGGTGTGAATCCAGTCATTGTGTATGAAGCCATATATATCAGAGACATGACATTAACTGAAGAATTAGACTCTCCAGAGACCTCTCCCCTTCGCTGCAGGAACAAGAACTGGAGAGCAGATCATGCTCTTACAGGGCTTAGGCACTTGCTCCACAGACTTGCAAATACAGTTCTGAAGTCCCTATATAATTAAAATCTCTCCTGCCACATTTCCCTCTGAATTAACTCTTCAAAGACCCCAGAACATTTTTAACTCTTCTCATTGCCTTCTTTAGGCTGGTGTGTTTCAGCTCCTTTAATTTTTTACTCCTAGGTCTAATTATTTTGCTTTTCAAACCTCCCACCACCTCCTGCACACATTCACACATCCCCAAAATTTCTCTCAAACGAAATTATTTGTTGTACCCAAAGAAAAGATGCATGAATCAGGGCCCAGGGACGTGAGGGTCCAATCCCTCTCTGATTTATTTCTGTTCAGAGTGCCAGACGTGGTTGCTTCTGAAAACATCCCTATTCAGCTTCAGCTCTTCTCTAAGTCAAGACCTATTCCACTACTGGGCCATGGCCAAATGAGGCAGAAAAGAGCAAATGAGGCTGGGTGCAGTGGCTCACGCCTGTAATCCAAGCACTTTGGAGGCCAAGGCAGGCAGATCACCTGAGGTCGGGAGTTCAAGACCAGCCTGACCAACATGGTGAAACCCTGTCTTTAAAAAAAAAAAAAAAAAAAGCAAATGAGGCTATTCTGGGGTTTACAGTTATATTCTTTCCTAGTTCCTCTTCCTCTGCTCCAACAGAACTTATTTTACCTTACTCTATATCTAATTTTTCTGGCCATCCCGGGTAAGAGGAAAAATTATTGTTTGGGACCATAAGAACATTCAGACTCAGTGGGAAGATTGAGAGGGCAGTGTAGTTTAGCAGAAAGGGTGGCACCCTTTGGAATTTGGGATTTTGTGGTTAGTAAGACTTGAGGGCGCATTCCCAGCTTAGGCCTGGGCATACCCTGTGGTATGGTCCCCACAGGGGACCTTTAGAAAGGGGTTGGCTGCCCCTTTCTAAAACTGTTACAGTTTTTCAGTCACTTGAGATACTTTGAGGATACCACCAGACAGGATGAAGATAAGGAGTGAAGCTGTCATAAGGGTCCCAGGGTTCACCATCTGGGGCTAGTAGTTTGGGCTGGCAGTGGGGAGGAGAGGGTGGGAAGGGATCTGGGGCCCAGAGGGCCACAGTGGCTCCTGCCCAAATCTAAACAGCTTTTTTACAATGTCAAACAGGGGAAAGGCGGCTAGAGCAGCACATCCCCACTCAGGCCGTTTCTAATGGTAAATATGTCTGCTCTCTCCGCTTGCTCTCACTGGCTTGCTAGGGGAAGTGCTAACCTGCTGGAGCTCTTACTAACTGCATGCCCACTGGGCCCAGCCTGACTGGGCCCCAACCTGCCAGCAGAACTACCCTGGCAGCCTGGGCACTGGGCCCATCAGGTGACAAGAAACTTAAATCCCTAAGAGCTGGCCTGGGAGCTTTCATGCTGGTCTTGTCTTTGTTCCTGTCATTCTCCTTCTGCCCTTCCTCTTCTGCTCTCTCCTCCCACACCCACATTTTAACACCCCACCCCCTCTCTACCCAGCCACCCCCATTTTCCCTGTCATGCCCACTGTGCCACCTGAGATAGGGGTGTGATAGGGTTAGATGCCATCCCCTCCTTGGGGCTTCTTTCTTGGGTTCTTACCCACATTAGTTCACAGTCCCCGCATCGCTCACCATTCTCTCCCACCGTAATGGTTAAGAGCATGGCATGTGTGTTCAGGCAGACCAAGTCTGAATCCTGGCTCTGCCACTTTCTAACTGTATGACCTTAGGCCAGCTACTTTCCTCTCTGATCCTCAGAAATAATGCTCATTGACCTTAGGGTTGTAATGATTGAGACAGTGCATGTAGAGCATCTATCTGGGAAGTGCCTGGCACAGCAAAAGCACAGAGTAACTCATGGTTTTAATATTGTGACCTTGAGAGCAAAGGGGTGAGATTATATATGCGGTCCTGCTGCTCCACCCTGCTCTCGAGAATGCTGTCCTGCAGAGGTGGGCAGCTATGCCCAGCTTCCTGTCAGCCTAGGATGAACATTGTGTCAGCTCTGCTATTCCCTATATCCTACATCATTCAGAAGTCAGCTGGCCTTGGCAGAGGATCTCTGTGCCCCTCCCCCTGCTCTTGGGCTTAGTGGACCTCTTCTGCTAAGAGCACTCTTAAGGGGATAGCTAAGTTTGGAACCTGAACTCAAGGTTCCCTACTAGTTTCCTCCCATAGTCTTGGGAGCCTCAGGAGAGACTAAAGTGGAAATGGTACAAAGAATATCCCACTCCAGGTTGGGCTGCTCCACACATGGGCATTTGAGGGACCAGGGCCTGGCCAGGGACCCACAGATAGAGTTAGGCTTCTTTTGGAGCCCTGGCCTTCCTGTTCTCATTGGTGACAAGAGTTGGGCCTGAGTGTGAAGAGTCAGAAACTCAAGAAGATGGCAGTACATCCAGTACTTGTCTTATTCAATTCCCTTGATTCTGAGAACCACTCTTCTATCTTCCCTAGTGGAGGCCTTGGGATTCTCTCTCTCTAATGGGAGAATTCTAGTCACCCCAAGAGGACAGTCCACACCATCTCCACAGTCTATATCAGGGCCTTTCACTGTTTGAACTAATGGCTTTTCCTTGGACACATCTGACTTTCCCAAACTATTATTTAAACCTGTTTTTTTCTCCTGCTCTGAATTCAGAAAATAGGGAGAGTGACCCAGCCATACTCCTCCTACTTTGACCTTTGAGTGAAAGGGAAAACTTACCAGTCCAAAGGGAGCAGCATAAGAGACTTAGCCAAAATAAGGATTTAGGTCTTATCTAGCTCTGAGGTTAACTCTTTCACTGACCTTTTTTACACTTTTCCTTCTCTGGATTTTTCTCTTTCTTTTGCCCCTTCCTCTCCTATACAACATCTCCCCATTAGCAAAGTAAAACAACAAAACAGCCAGCTTATCTCCATTTAGAACTAAAAGGAGGGTTTGGGAGGAGTTGAAGGTAGATTAACCCAGTATGTGTTGTCTCCTATGAGGATGAGCAGTCTGTGTCCTGGAAGTGGGATCTTTAAGACAGCTGGGCATGGGGGAAGGGGAAGATAAATTGATGGGTATTCTTCAGTTGTCTTAGGAATGGCCAGGCTCATTCTTTCCAATCCACCTACAGTAAGATTGTCCCACCACAATCCCTACCCACCCAGCATAGAGGTAGTGGGAAAAGGAAGAAACTCCTATCTGTCCCTTCAGTTCCCTGGCGGCCAGAACCACCCTCACTTAGCTCCTATCCCTCCCTACTCCCCCACCACCTCCTCCACCCCCTCGGCACATTCCTGCCTGACAGCTCTGGCTTGTACCTGCCTCACTGCTGTCCACCTTGTTTCAATCAAGTAGGGGGCAGGGAAGTGGACTGCTTGGCTGTACTTGTAAGGGGATGGGGGTTGGGAGTGATGGGAGGAAGAGGGCTGGGAGCCTCCCTCGGCTTAATGCTCCTCCTAAAGCACAGGGAGGCAGCTGACGCCTTCCCTCAGGCCTCCATGGTCTCCATTACCCTCAGAGTCTGGGACTCCTCCAGGCTTCTAACCTGGTTACTATCCCCCATCTCTGTCCTAAACAGAGACTTGTGCTGTCAACAACGGGGGCTGTGATAGTAAGTGCCACGATGCAGCGACTGGTGTCCACTGCACCTGCCCTGTGGGTTTTATGTTGCAGCCAGACAGGAAGACCTGCAAAGGTAAGGACTTTGAAAGGACAGAAGCAGAGTGACCTTTGGTAAGAGGCTGAGGTTGGGTGCCTATTATGGGATAACACCTCTTCAACCTCCTTCTTATAAAGAACCCAGGACATAGCTTAAGTGTTGTCTCCTATCTACCTGCTTCATCTTAGTTCAAGGGGCAGAGAAGTCCAGCCAGTTCCTTAGTGCCCCTTCCCTTACTCCACCTTGTTTCCCTACTCTCATTCCTATCCCCCACGGGTCCCTAACCCTCTGAGTTAATGGACACGTGATTCACATTTGCTTCTGGGTCTGGAAGGATATTTGAGCCCTGACTTTGTGTGTGTTCAAGGTCACAGGTGTGTTCCATAACATTCCTCAGACCTTTCCAGTGGGATCTGGGGAAATGATCTTCCCCCCTTGAAAGGCTGTACTGGTCAAAGGAAGAGTAGGATACCAGTTAGGAAGACTGAAGCTGGAGCCTGGCTGCTTGGGTTCAGATCCCAGCCCTGTCTCCTACTAGCTCTGTGATCCTAGGCAAGTCACTTAATGAATGTCTCTGTGCCTCAGTTTCCCCATAGTGCTTGCCTCATACTGTGTTGTGAGAATTAAATGAGTTATTATATAAAAAGTACTTAGAACAGTGCTTAGCAAATGGTAAGCACTTTGTGTAAACTGGTATTACAGTATAGTTACCCACATTATCCATTCTGTTTCCCCTCCTTTTAATTAGCCAGGTCTGAGAGAGAATGGGGGGAAAGGGAGGAGGAAAAAGGAAGGGTAGCCATAGTAAAAATGGTGATTCATTAGGTCCATGTCCCTGGTCACAAGGAGTAGGGACTAGAAGGAGGACTGGGCTCGTTCTTTGTGTCTTTTGGCCCAAAAGCTGCGAGAAGGAGGGGGGAGGCTGGGGCAGTAGGTCAGCCTGCCAGAGTTGAGAGGTTTCCTGCTGGGAAGGACTGTTGACAGGTATGCCAAGAGTGAAGTGGAAGGCTGCCCTCCCTGCCCCCTTCTCCAACCAGGGGTGAGTAGCCTGGGTCCTGTCTGCCACCAGCTTGGGTAACTTGACCCCAGGAAGGAAGCCATTCACCACTCCCCTTTCCTTTTTTTTTTTCCCCCCCTTTCCTTTACTAGTGCTGAAAGCTGCCTCAGGCCTGAGTCTCCAGATCTCTCCCAGTCCAGCCCCCTTCCTGGGCCTAGCCCTCCCCCATCACTACCCAGCCTCACTGGCTCTCCTGGAGATCCTCCCTGCCTGGCCTCTTTCTCAGCTCCTCCTCTTCCCTGAAGGGCTGCCCCTTTTCAGTGAGTCCCTTTTGACTCTCCACCTCTCCTTGACCATACCCCTCCGCCCCGCCTCCCTCCTCAGGGCTCTTGACAGGACCCTTATGACAGGACTGAGGGACAGGAAAAAGATAACCTTACCTCCAGCCTTTCTGGGAATGGTCATTAGCTGGAGACTAAGGGCTAGCCCTGTAGGTCAAATGCTCACCTGCTCCCTCCTCCATGCAATTCCCTGAGGGCCTGATTCTGGTTCCCATTTGCGCCCTTATAAGTACACTCAATCAGGACCAGGTGCGGTGGCTCACGCCTGTAATCCCAACACTTTGGGAGGCTGAGGTGGGTGGATCACCTGAGGTTGGGAGTTGCAGGCCAGCCTGACCAACATGGAGAAACCCTGAAATAGAAAAAAATTAGCTGGATGTGGTGGTGCACACCTATAATCCCAGCTACTCAGGAGGCTGAGGCAGAAGAATCACTTGAACCCAGGAGGCAGAGGTTGTGGTGAGCCGAGATTGTACCTTTGCACTCCAGCCTGGGCAACAAGAGCGAAACTCTGTCTCAAAAAAAAAACAAAAAACACTAAATCCAGAAGAGAGGGTGCTATTAATGGCCACAGATCCCCTGAACAGGGAAGAAACAGAGACGGGAGAGAGAGGAGTCAGAAGAGGCAGGCCCTGGACTCTCCTTGATTTTTGCACGTCTGTCAGTGAGGGAGGGATTTTCTCCTTATTTTTCTCAGCCTTTGATACTATCTTTTATCCTTTTTGTCCTTCTTCAGATATAGATGAGTGCCGCTTAAACAACGGGGGCTGTGACCACATTTGCCGCAACACAGTGGGCAGCTTCGAATGCAGTTGCAAGAAAGGCTATAAGCTTCTTATCAATGAGAGGAATTGCCAAGGTGAGCAGTCTCCAGCAAAAATGAAAGCCTTAGGAGTGGTTCTTGTGGGAGAGCTTCAAAGAGGCTAGAGGGCTAAGTCTTAGAATAGACACGATGCAGTCTCTACAGGCAGTGTCATCCTGTGAATTAGCAAATGGTAACCCTTTCCCCTCAGTGGACCAGCTTCATATCAAAGCACTCAGCTTGGCAAGGAGGGATGGATTTCACCCCAATTCATATCCTTGGCAGAACAGGAAAATTATCCTTGGCAGAGTAGGATATACCTAACCACACATGGTGGCTCTTCCTAATTCTAAGGACGCCAACTAAAGGGAGCATAGAGGATGAATTGGCATTGTTAAATCACTGGTCCCAAAGCTAGGACATGAATAGGACTCTTCAGTTCAAGGGTGAAAACCAAGGCTTTGGGTCCTTCACCTACGCAAGGGTCAAGTGCTCCATTCAGTGGCTTCAATCTTTGCTCTTCCAGATATAGACGAGTGTTCCTTTGATCGAACCTGTGACCACATATGTGTCAACACACCAGGAAGCTTCCAGTGTCTCTGCAATCGTGGCTACCTGTTGTATGGTGTCACCCACTGTGGGGGTAAGCTAGTAGGCTTGCACCCCCAGCTACCCTGGCCCTGTCACCTCTTCACCCTCCAGTTGAATAGGTCCCTGTGTTGGCTTGTGGCTATGGGCCATCCCTGGGTGCATGCACCATGTCTGCATCCACTGTGATAAAATAGGAGGAATTAAGACAGAGTCTGAAGAACAACTGGGAGACTGAGGAAACAGCATCCTGCCTCCAAAATTCCTATCTCCCATTCCTATAACTGTATCTGAACCCCCACTCTCAGCTCCCAAATGATGGTCTCACTGGTATGGAGGAGTAGAAGGCTTTAAAAAGCTTGTTGGCTTAGCCAGGTGTGGTGGCTTACACCTGTAATCCCTGCAGTTTGGGAGGCTGAGGCAGGTGGATCACAGGTCAAGAGATCAAGACCATCCTGGCCAACATGATGAAACCCCATCTCTACTAAAAGTATAAAAATTAGCTGGGCATGGTAGTGCATGCCTGTAGTCCCAGCTACTTGGGAGGGTGAGGCAGGAGAATTCCTTGAACCTGGGAGGCAGAGGTTGCAGTGAGCTGAGATCGGACCACTGCACCCCAGCCTGGAGACAGAGCAAGACTCTGTCTCAAAAAAGAAAAAAAAAAAAAGAGCTTGTCAGCTTTGCCCTTTCTCAATCCTTCCTTTGGGGACAGTGATAAGGAGAGGATGATTGAGCCAACAGTCATCTTACAGTGCCTAGAATGCTTTTTTAACTTTTTTAAATTGTAAGAACATTTAACATGAGATCTACCCTCTTAAATTTTTAAGTGTGCACTACAGTATTGTTACCTATAGTCACATTGTTGTACTTAGATCTCTTGAACTTACTCATCTTGCATAACTCAGGGTACCTGGAACTCTAACCAGAGGCTCTCACTCACTGCCCACTCTCTGACTCCTCCTCCAACCCCATCGTTGTTTTTCTGTCTCCCTACTCCTCCCAGATGTGGATGAATGCAGCAACAACCGGGGAGGTTGCCGCTTTGGCTGCATCAACACTCCTGGAAGCTACCAGTGTACCTGCCCAGCAGGCCAGGGCCGGCTGCATTGGAACGGCAAAGATTGCACAGGTGGGCAGTGCCCTCTGCTGGCCAAAGATGACACAGCAGTTTTGCAGGGCCATTGGGGTTCTGGAATGCATAGAGGCATCTTTCATGTTGAGGAAAGGTGTGAGGTGGGAAAGGATGGAGAATGTAGCCATTCTGAGTTAAAGACATGAAATTTGTAGTGAATAATCCCATCATCAGTCTCCATGGGTACAATAATTATTATGCAAGTAGCTGATTGTTTTCCTCCAAATTACCCAACTGAGGGAGAGGGTGGGAAAGGAATGTACCCATTTCCTCAGGCCTCTCTCCTCTTCCTAGAGCCATTGAAATGTCAGGGCAGTCCTGGAACCTCAAAAGCCATGCTCAGCTGCAACCGGTCTGGCAAGAAGGACACCTGTGCCCTGACCTGTCCCTCCAGGGCCCGGTTTTTGCCAGGTACATGGGAGGAGGGTGCTGGAGAGCTGTGGAAGAGAAAAGAGAAAGGGCTGGCCATTCAGGCAGCTCCTTCACTCCCCTTGGATTCCTCCAGCCAGTGGGGGTTGGGAAGGCAGGTCAGAACTGTGACAGGCTCCTTCTCTCAGAATCTGAGAATGGCTTCACGGTGAGCTGTGGCACCCCCAGCCCCAAGGCTGCTCCAGCCCGAGCTGGCCACAACGGGAACAGCACAAACTCCAACCACTGCCATGGTGAGCACCAGCCCAGAAGCCTTGTTCCCACTCTACTCTCTTGCATTAATCCCTTATTTTTCTTCTTCATCAATCCCCTGGCTTTCCTTTCTCCTGGATCCTCTTTTTTTTGCCCTTTCGCACTTCTCCACCCCAGCTCTCTCACTCCCTCTGCCCTAATATCTGATCTCCTTGGCTTTCGTAATCTCACTTCCCCAGCCAAGCCCCTGGCTTATTGCCCAGCTTCTCAACATCCCCCACAGCACCCCAGAACTACTTGGGCATCCCATACTGTGCTGAGTTTCTGCCATCCCTCTAGAGGCTACAGTGATACCCATTAAACAACGGGTCTCCTTCAAGATCAAAGATGCCAAATGTCGTTTGCACCTGCGAAACAAAGGCAAAACAGAGGAGGCTGGCAGAATCACAGGGCCAGGTCTGGACTGGGGACCCCATTCCAATTGGCTATCTGGCCACTAAACCCTCCTTACCCCTCAGCTCCTCTTAGTGAGATCTCTTCCAAAAACCCACCAGCACCCTGAACTCTAGGCAGAGCAGAGGAAAAAGCAGCTATAGGCAACAGGACCCAAGGAAGTTCCAGAATACTCCCCTCCACCAACTAATTAGTATACTAGACTAAAACAGGATTAAGAGATAGTCAGAGATCTGGGAGGTCTGTCTGGGTTGGGGTGAAGAAGTGAGACTGGGAGTGAGAACTTTCCAGGGGATGATCCTGGGGTTGACAAGCCCTCTCTCCCAGGTGGTGCCCCCTGCTCTGAATGCCAGGTCACGTTCATCCACCTTAAGTGTGACTCTTCTCGGAAGGGCAAGGGCCGACGGGCCCGGACCCCTCCAGGCAAGGAGGTCACACGGCTCACCCTGGAATTGGAGGCAGAGGTCAGAGCCGAAGAAACCACAGGTGGGACTGGGGGCCCTGTTGGGAAGAGGACTGGAAGGGGAGGGCAGAGGTGAGGAAACCACAGGTCTCAGTAGCAAAAGGAAGGGACGGAGCCTGTACCGGGGCCAGACCCTGCCTAGTGCCACGCCTAAAAGCTAGTCCCTCTTACCATACCCCTCCTAGCTCCCAGCTTTGTTCCCCTGCCCTCCTGCTCACAGCAACTCTTTCTCCTCCCTGACACACACGGCCACCCACCACCAGCCAGCTGCGGGCTGCCCTGTCTCCGACAGCGAATGGAACGGCGGTTGAAAGGATCCCTGAAGATGATCAGAAAGTCCATCAACCAGGACCGCTTCCTGCTGCGCTTGGCAGGCCTTGATTATGAGCTGGCCCACAAGCCGGGCCCAGTAGCTGGGGAGCGAGCAGAGCAGATGGAGTCCTGTAGGCCTGGGCAGCACCGTGCTGGGGTCAAGTGTGGTAAGGGAGCTTACTGGGGAGCAGGGATGTGGGAAAGACCCAGTTTGGGCCTGGCTCAGAGCAGGACCCTTTGTGGTCTCAATTGTGTTTCTCAAATTATGAGGCGGCCAGGATGCTACTGCCTGCTGTCCTCCCTTCCCTGGTCCCAGGCTGAAATCTAGAAGGATGCCATGTGGGGCCAGCAATCCTCCTGCACACAGCTTTGACCCTCCTATCCCCCCAAGTAGGATTGTGTTTGTTTGCTGACAAAGAGATTCTCCCTAAATCAGGGGCTGTGGGGGGAGTGGGGAGTCCCAGGCCTGGGTGGTGGGAAATGGGATGGTGGGTGGCTAGCACGGCCGACTCTCCCTCAGTCAGCTGCCCGCAGGGAACGTATTACCAAGGCCAGATGGAGCAGTGTGTGCCATGCCCAGCGGGCACCTTCCAGGAGAGAGAAGGGCAGCTCTCCTGCGACCTTTGCCCTGGGAGTGATGCCCACGGGCCTCTTGGAGCCACCAGCGTCACCACATGTGCAGGTGCCAGGGGAACAAACAATACAGAGTGGGGTAGGGTGGGCACTGGGACGCCCATGGGCATGGGATTTCCCAAAGGGCAGGCCCAAGCTCCAGGCCACTCTCTTATAGTCAACATCCTGTTTGTATGCCTTTGTCCCCTGAGATTGGGTGACCCCTATGGGGATGACTCAGGACCATCCCCATCAGAGTTGGGTCCTTGATTCATTGCAGGTCAGTGCCCACCTGGCCAACACTCTGTAGATGGTTTCAAGCCCTGCCAGCCATGCCCACGTGGTACCTACCAACCTGAAACAGGACGGACCCTATGCTTCCCTTGTGGTGGGGGCCTCACCACCAAGCACGAAGGGGCCATTTCCTTCCAAGACTGTGACACCAAAGGTGAGTAAGCTACTCACCTCCCTGGGGGATTCCCCAACCCCAACTACTCCCAAAAAACTCCAAGTTCCCAGAGGGACCTGAGTGTGTTGACCCACCATTTTCTCCAAACCAGCAACAGGCCCAACTACTTGGCCAACCATACCATGCTGCTTCCAGGACCTTGCCCCTCCACCAGTCCCAAGCTTGGGAACTGAGAAATCATTAACAGTCCCACTTACCCCTCCATCTTGGAGAACTGGTGGCATATTCTCCATATCCCAAATGAATTTCTTTTTTTTTTTTTTTTTGAGACTGAGTTTCGCTTTTGTTACCCAGGCTGGAGTGCAATGGCACGATCTCGGCTCACTGCAACCTCCGCCTCCTGGGTTCAAGCAATTCTCCTACCTCAGCCTCCCAAGTAGCTGGGATTACAGGCATGCACCACCATGCCCAGCTAATTTTTTATATTTTTAGTAGAGACGGGGTTTCACCTTGTTGACCAGGATGGTCTCGATCTCTTGACCTCGTGATCCACCCGCCTCGGCCTCCCAAAGTGCTGGGATTATAGGTGTGAGCCACCGCGCACAGCCCAAATGAATTTCCACATAGGTTTGGAACTGTGCTTGGCATCTGAAAGAAAAGGATTGGCACTGTAGCCAACCACTCTGTAAACTGTTTTTCCATGGGCTTAAATTCTGGCATGACTGGGAAAAGTTGAGACCCTAGAAAGAACTTTGATGTATCCGACCTCCTGATTCTCCAAGATGAATGTATCCTGTCCATCGCATGCCCCGTAACTCTTACCTGCCCACTATCTTGATTCCTGCCTTTCTCCCTTGCCTGTAGTCCAGTGCTCCCCAGGGCACTACTACGACACCAGCATCCATCGCTGTATTCGCTGTGCCATGGGTTCCTATCAGCCCGACTTTCGTCAGAACTTCTGCACCCGCTGTCCAGGAAACACAAGCACAGACTTTGATGGCTCTACCAGTGTGGCCCAATGCAAGAGTATGTGGCAAGCCAGGCTATGGAAAAGGGAGGAAAGAGGCCTGGGAGCAGTAGACATATAAAGGAGGGGTGTGAAACCAACAGGGAGTAGGGCTGGGGGGTGGTGGGGGAGGAAAGCCCCACCTTCCACTTCTCTGCAACCTACTCAATCTCAAGGCCAGTTGCTAGGCTGGACCCTGTAGCACCCTCTCCCTGGAGATTGGTAATGAGGAAGCAGAGACAGGTGAAGTGAGAAGAGAAGGTACTAAAAGGGCAGGAAGGAAGATGGACCCAGAGCTTGGAAAATAATGATGAACTAGGATGGAGGCTTCCCATAAATGTCTGACCTCTACTTCAGAACTCGTCAATTCCCCCAACTCATTTTCCCACTGACTTCCCTTCTCTTTCTTATTCTATCTACTGGGGCTTGACTGCAGATCGTCAGTGTGGTGGGGAGCTGGGTGAGTTCACTGGCTATATCGAGTCCCCCAACTACCCGGGCAACTACCCAGCCAGCGTGGAGTGCATCTGGAACATCAACCCCCCACCCAAGCGCAAGATCCTTATCGTGGTACCTGAGATCTTCCTGCCATCTGAGGATGAGTGTGGGGACGTCCTCGTCATGAGAAAGAACTGTGGGTGGCTTGCAGAGCTGGGCCAGGGAAGGGCAGTCCAAATCTGGTTAAGGCGGGAAGACAGAGAGACTGATACAGGAAGAACTGAGGCAGTGAAGTCAGGGATCTATGAGGGTGAAATAATCAGAGGCTTTTAGGAAGAGAGAAGCTAACGGAGGAAAACAACAATGATACATGTTTGGTGGAGAACAGAGTTAAGAAAGCTAGCAGTGGGGCCAGAGTCCAATGGTGTTACATGCATCACTCCTATCGTAGCATTTTTGCCATTCCATTCATTTAAATGTCAAATGTGTAACACTATGTGAGTGCCCGGGTATCAAGGAGGAATTGTGAATGAGCCCAGTGGGCAATGGGAGAGGGTGCGGGGTGGGATGTGTGTATGTGGAGGGGTAGCCTTTGTCAGAATAGTTCTCTCTCTTACCCCATACCCCCTACCATAAGCTCTACGGCCCACGTTCTAGGAGGGCTTGGGTAGCCTGCCCTACTGCTCTACTGACCTGCTGCTTGCCTTCCCAGCATCCCCATCCTCCATTACCACTTACGAGACCTGCCAGACCTATGAGCGCCCCATTGCCTTCACTGCCCGTTCCAGGAAGCTCTGGATCAACTTCAAGACAAGCGAAGCCAACAGTGCCCGTGGCTTCCAGATCCCCTATGTTACCTATGATGGTGAGCCAAGGAGGTGGGTGAGAGGGGGAGGTACATAAGTTTTGAGAGGGAACCAAGAGAGCAGGAAGAGCTCCTGAGCCCCTCTCCTTGGTTGACTCTGCAGAGGACTATGAGCAGCTGGTAGAAGACATTGTGCGAGACGGCCGCCTCTATGCCTCTGAAAACCACCAGGAGATTTTAAAGGTAAGTGATTGTTAACAATAATGATAGCTAACATTTAATGAGCATGTAATAATGTGCAGGCAATATGCTAAGTGCTTACATGAATATTCTCATTTGATATACACAATAGCTCTATGAGGTAGGTGCTTTCTCCATTCCCTCTTTACAGATGAGAAAACTGGGGCATGGAGAGTTAAAGAACCTGCCCCATGGTAAAGCTGGGATTTGAGCCCAAGCCCATCTGACTGCAGTGTCACCCACTCTTTATTACACCTTGGGGAAACTTGGAAGAGAAAGGGAAGGTGAGGAGAAGAAATGTCTCTACTTCTTCCACCAAGAGATATGTGGAAAATGAAGTATAGAAAGATACTTTTGCATCAGTCCCTTCCTTCCCTTATTCCCTCTCCAGGCCCCATTAAGAAGCAGCAGATCAGCTAGGCATGGTGGCTCACGCCTGTAATCCCAGCACTTTGGGAGGCCGAGGTGGGTGGATCACATGAGGTCAGGAGTTTGACACCAGCCTAGCCGACATGGTGGAACTGTCTCTACTAAAAATACAGAATTAGCCAGGTGTGGTGGCAGGTACCTGTAATACCAGCTACCTGGGAAGTTGAGGCAGGAGAATTGCTTGAACCCAGGAAATGGAGGTTGCAGTGAGCAGAGATCATGCCATCATGCTCCAGCCTGGGCCACAGAGTGAGACTCTGTCTCAAAAAAACAAAAAAAAACCAGTAGCAGATCTAGCACAGCTTTCTCAGAAATCAGTTCATGTATAGACTTCTTTTAAAGGAAAAGAAATACTTCCAACATTGAAGACTGGACTAGATGCCCTGGGTCAGTGGATCCCAGTTTGAGAAAATCTTCTTTAAGAAATAGAATTATCCTTCATAAATTATCAGAAAAAGTTAGTAAAATATTTTTATATTATCATCAAAATTAAAGCCTTGATGACAGGAATCACCTAGAACTTACAGACTTCAAAGAATATAATTTTAACAACACTTTTCAAACATTTTTAAAGCATCTGAACCCTTATTTCAAATCAAATGTATTGTGGAACTCCAACACATAAAACAATGCAGCTATTCGGATTAAAGTGGGGTGGAGAATGAAACCCGTAATTCTTATTGCAAAAATCCACTGATACCATGGAAGGAGAACTAGCCTAGGAGCCAGAAAGTCTGAGGGTTTTTTTTTTTGTTTTTTGAGACGGAGTTTCGCGCCCGTTACCCAGGCTGGAGTGCAATGGTGCGATCTCGGCTCACCGCAACCTCCGCCTCCTGGGTTCAGGCAATTTTCCTGCCTCAGCCTCCTGAGTAGCTGGGATTGCAGGCACGCACCACCATGCCCAGCTAATTTTTTGTATTTTTAGTAGAGACGGGGTTTCACCATGTTGACCAGGATGGTCTCGATCTCTTGACCTCGTGATCCACCCGCCTCGGCCTCCCAAAGTGCTGGGATTACAGGCTTGAGCCACCGCGCCCAGCCAAGTCTGAGTTTTAATGCACAGTGCCTGGCACCTAGTAGGCTCTCCACATACCATGCTGCTGTTACAGGGTGGTCAAGAAAGGCCTCTAAGGAGAAGAGACCCAAATAAGGTAAAAGGGCTCCCTCCCCACTAGAAAATGAGGGATGAGCGCTCCAGCCTGAGGAGCATGGGAGCAATTTAGCGTGTTTAGGAACTTCAAGAAGGCCAGTGTGGCTCAGCAGAGGGGGAAAGAGTGGAGGCAGAAAGTTAAGACACAGATCACATTCAGCCTATGGACCATGTAAGGGACTCAGCTTTACTCTGAGTGATAAGAGAAACCTGAAAAGAGTTTCAAACAGGAAAAAGATGAACTAATCAAAAACACACAAAGTCACTATGGCTGCTGTGGGGAGAACAGTTTATGGAGGGACAAAGGTAGAGGCATGGAGACCAGTTAGGGGGCTACTACAGTGCTTTAAGCCAGAGACAATGGTGGCTTGGGAAGATGGTGAGAAGTGGTCAGATCCAGACACATTTTGAAGGTAGAGTCAGTAAGATTTGCTATAATTGTAAGCAAGAAAGAGGATTCAAGGATGGCTCCAAGGATTGGGGCCTAAGCAACAGAAGGATGGAGCGGCCACTGACTCATTTGTGGAATTCCAAAGTAGGGGCAGATGGTGGGGATGGGAATCCAGAGTTTACCTCTAGATATATGCATATCTTGATATATGAGATGCCTAGTAGACATCAAGAAGGGCTGCTGAGTCACGATGTTCCTCTTTCCCACCCCGAACACTGAGGCTGACATTGTTCCCTGCCATCCTCTGCAGGACAAGAAGCTCATCAAGGCCTTCTTTGAGGTGCTAGCGCACCCCCAGAACTACTTCAAGTACACAGAGAAACACAAGGAGATGCTGCCAAAATCCTTCATCAAGCTGCTCCGCTCCAAAGTCTCCAGCTTCCTGAGGCCCTACAAATAGTAGCCCTAGGATCAGAGACCCAGTTTTTTAAGCCCTCAGACTCCTTAGCCCTCAGAGCTGGCAGCCCCCTACCCTCAGACAAGGAACTCTCTCCTCTCTTTGGAGGGAAAAAGAAAGTATCACTACACAGACCAGGCACTCTCCCTTTCTGTCTTTCTAGTTTCCTTTCCTTGTCTCTTTCTGCCTGTCTCTCTACTGTTTCCCCTTTTCTTACATGCTCCCTAGGAAAGCCATTCAGTACTGGCTCTAGTCCCCCTGAGAGGTAAAGAAACAGTACAGCCCCTTCCACTGCCCATTTTACCAGCTCAGATTCCTAGCCCCATCAGCTTGGAAGGGTGCCAGAGGCCCATCAAGGAAGTGGGTCTGGTGGGGAATGAGGAGAGGAAAGAAGGGCTTCTGCCATTATAGGGTTGTGCCTTGCTAGTCAGGAGCCAAAATGTCCCCTGGCTCTGCTCTCTAGGGTGATTCTAACAGCCCAGGGTCCTGCCAAAGAAGCCTTTGATTTATAGGCTTAATGGCAGCACCAGACCTCTGGGACACATCGTTTGAGCTCTGGACCGCCCACATGGCCAGCTTTCTTGTCTATACAGATTCTCTTTCTTTCCCCACGTCTGCCTGGGGTCTACTCCATAAGGGTTTGCAAATGGCCCACAACACTGAGTTAATGGACACTGGCTAAATGAGGAAGAGCAGCAGGCATTATGTTGAAGGCCCCGCTATGGCTTTCTAAAAGACTATAGCTCTGCAGGACAGAAACCAGGTTTTAAAGCATTGCCCCTAAAAAAAAGAAAACAGAAAGAAAAGAAAATGTTTCATTTAAAGGACTAGACACAGAACAATTAGAAGTCAGCTTCAAACACTAATACCTTTTCTTACTTGTCTTCCCTGGCCCAGCCACTTTCTCAGCCCCACCTGAATGCTCCCTGGGGGAGCCCTACTCCCCTTGCTACATGTTGTCCTTAAAGAAATATGGCTATTGACATGAAGCCAGCCTAGGCCTTACCCTACAGTTGTCTTTCCCTTGTAGCCCCAGCTGGCTTGTGGGCTTCACCAAAGAGGACCCCACTCTGCAGCCAGCCTGGAGCCACCTACCTCTGGCCTCAGGCTGTGGGCAGCAAAAAGGAATGTGTGTGCACTTGGCGAGCCTCCTGCCCACCCTGTCCACACCTAATAAGTGCAATCATTTTGAGTTTTCCTATGTTGTCTAGAGGGAGGAGTTTTTGTTTTCTGTTTTTGTTTCTCTTTCCTCTATTAGAAAAACCTTATTTATAGCTGCCCAAGAGAAAAGAGTATATGTTTGGCGTAGAAGAAAATCAGTTTTGAATCTCATGAACCTTGAGTGCTGGAGCATCTGATCTGTTTCTATGCCATCAGTGGCCACCTAGAACCCTTGGCTGTGGTAATCCAGGGTAATTGTGCAGAGGCATCTGATATGTAGGAAAGTAATTCTGGGGATTTGATGGAGCAGGAAGGAGAGGGACCTATGTTTGCTAAATCAGTCCTGCTATCCCTATGCTCTCGATGGAGTCAGCGTGGACCTCATGATTACAGAAGCCAATGGAACTGGTCAGTGATTCTCTACCCCAAGTAGGGAAAACCTCCGTCTTTTCCCTGTCTTTATCCTGTTATCCGCTGGTGTTCACATGGAAGAGGACAAGAACATACCACCTGGGGATGGGCTGACTCAGGTTCCTGAGCCAGAGTCAAGGCTGTGGGAGCCAAGAATAAGACAGAAGGCATCAGATATTTGCCTGGCTCTGGTCACTTCCCTCTCGAAGTTGACTTCAAGCCTAGCCTCCTCAACTACTGTTTTTCAAAAGGAACAATCAAATGGAAGAAGAATCAAGTTCGTGCCCAAGCCCAAAGCCTGCACACATTCTGCCCTTAATCCAACTGCTGCCTATAAACTAATTTTCAATTTTCTCCCTCTAGTTCTCCCAAAGCTGTAGTCCTAATCAATCAAAGGCTACCAACTGATTCCTCAGGTTCATTTCTTCTTTTTTTTTTTTTCTTTTTAACGCTCCTGGTAACTCATAGGTTCATTTCTAGGTGACTGTCCTAGGCTACTGCTCCCCTAGGAGCCTGAACAGTGAATAAAGGAGCCCGACCCCCTACCCTCCCATCAGTAGCATTCACCAGCGAAGACAGCCGCAGCAGTGGTAGTCAGTGACACAGCTAGATTCCCTGACAACCATTAGCCAACATCATGGCCCTTGCGGGTAGAGTGTTTGATTACCGCTGTCTTTCTGGGTCAAAGAGGGCCACTATAAAGATGTAAAATGGCTGCTTCCAAACAAGGGGAATGGTCATTTGGTAGGAGTGTCTGTACTTCCCAGGAAGCACCGTGAAAACTGCTTTAATCAACTCTGACCATCCTAATTCTTCACCAGAAGCTAAGATAACTTTTTGATTCCTCTCTTCTTACCATTTTGCATCTCTTGGAAAGCCAAACAGTGAGCATACTTCTCACTTGTGCCTTTAGGGTCTGGCTTCTCCTTTCTCCCTTCCTTTCCCATCACACCATACATACACACAAATACATTTCCTCCAGCCATTTATCCCATGGTTTATGAGACCTGCAAATGAGTTCCACAGTATGGAAGGCATAGACCACCAAGCTTCTTAACTGATGTCAAGGCACATCTTGGTAAGCAGGTAAAAACCTGGTATTGTCCACCAAGTTTAATTTAGGTCCTTCAAGTTGGAGGTTAAGAACCCAGGCAAAGTTGCTGCAAAACCTATGGAGGAAGTTGGCCCTGGGACATCAAACTAGGGGTTAAGTGAATTGAATGAGGAGTCAACACTCAGGGACATTCTAGGTCTTTACAGGTCAAACAGAAGAAAGGTTTTTACCACTGGAGGGGAAATGGAAAAATGGTACAAATAGGAACCCTTCATGAAGCAACCCAGAGGCCTCTCTGCAGGGTAGGGTGTGGGGCTACAGTATTGTGGGGCCTCCATTCATCTTAGTACAAAAACCTGACCTGCTCTAAGCCTGGAAATGGGAAGCAGTTTCCATGAAGGCTTCAGGCACCAAGTGGTGCATACCAGAAAGGCACTTATATCCTCAGCAATGTGGCAGTTCCTCCTTACTTCTCTGCCTCCCTCTTTCTATATTATCAGGCCATGCCTATTCCTACAACCTGAGACAACTCTTGGAATCAGGAGAAAACTGACCAGATCCTGAACTTGAGCTGCCTTCCCCAGGCCTAGAAATCCCCAAAGGCTGACACTGAGCTGTGACTGATTTAACAGCCCCCAGGATTTGGTCAGTTTGAGGTAGTGGAGACTCAGATTTGCTGCTGAAAGTTCAGTAACACAGTCCTGGTCTTTGGCCCTAAAGAAACTTTTTATATATGAAAAGTGTTCTCTATATACATGTTTGAGGTGACTCTGGAATGGATTACGAAGTCATATCTCAAAATGTCAGAAAACATTACAGAGCATTCAAACTTTTGTATTTGCTGCTTAACCTCAATATTACAGCCACAAACGGGGGGTACAAAGACAAAGCATAACTGACCATAAGCAGAATATTAACCTTCCAGGTTTCTTTCTTAAGCACAGTAAGAGAAAAGTGGGAGCAAACAATACAAGGATAGTTTTACATGTGACCCGTCTCAAAGGTAGCACACCCTATCCTTGTGCCATTATTTGTACAAGGAAATATATGATTAGAAGGAATAGAACCCCCAGTTGTCATCAGCTTTTTTAGATACCACAGGTTGTAGCAATTTGAACAAACAAAACTTTATTCTTCTGTGTGAACTGAACTGAAGTTTCAGAGAATAATCATCGCCATGTGGGAGGCTTTTTGTTAAATGCAGAAGAAATCTCAAAATATTGTATTTATATCTGCCTTCCACTGCTGCCAATATAGTAAGCATCTCCTACAAAATCAACAATAAACAGCAAATGATGCAGTTCATAGAGTATTTTGCACTTGGGGAAAAATATGTATCTGACTTGTAAAAAGAAATGTTTGGATTTTGTATGTCTTTTTTATTATTATTAAAATACTAAATGAAACTCCCCAGCCTGACATCTTTTCCTCTATCTCAACAGCTTATCCTAAAGCCAGAAAAAAGCCTTGAGGAGACAGTGTCTTCTGGCTTCCAGATAAAACGTACCCAACTTTTTTGGCAACTCATCCTAATGATTTTAAAATTTGAAAAGCCTTGGTTTCTTTTTTTTGCCTATCCTTAAAAGCAGTATCAAGTATTATCTCCTGAGGGGGATTTAAGAAGTAGGGGAAATTTATTGCTCCTCCTTGCCACAGTATATAGTCCACAACAGCTGGCCAGGCCACAGGCGGTTCAGCACCTACCTAGTCAAGATGTCCCACCTCTAGGAAAGCACCAGCACTGAGGGTCACCCAGTGTCATTATTTTTACGTAGTACACTTGGCCACCAAATAGTATTGTAAATACAGATCATTCAGCCATTACCACCATCACTACTCCTTTAAGGCACAAGAAAGCCATGTCCAATCTCTTTTATAAATGAACAGGCCCAATTTCTAGGCTCAGAGATGATAGATAAAACTTAGCTATTGCAATTATATAATTCCCTGACATGAAATTTTATTGGATTTAATATCTACACAATATAGCCATTTAAGAGTATAACTTGAGGAACAAGGAAAAATCTACCTTATCAAAAAACATGTTAGGGTGGCCTATCAGAATCTTAAACTTCCCCTTTAGCATTATAGTGAAGTTATAGATGAAGTACATTCATTCTGTAATTACTGAGCTCCTATTATATGCCAGGCAGTGAGCATCTGCTCATCAGCTTATTGACAACAGCCATGCTCAAGATCCACACTCCTCATGTAACTTTCTGATTATAATCTTCAGGTCAGATTCCCCAACAGGAGAGAGAATCCAGTTCACTTGGTGGCTGTAAGTATGAAAGAATGCACTGGCATTCTATTATGCACATTAAGTTCCTATGAATTTGATTTAATGTGACAAAACATGAACACCTTTGTGTGGACTGACAAAATCACACTTCTACAACTGCAAAGCCAAGGACAGTATTCATGACCTTCATACTACATCAACTTGGTACCATTGTCTTTGACTTCTCTCGTAACTTACTTCTATTCCAAGAACAAGTCTTCTTCCTTACATCCTAGGACATTTGCTTTGGTGTCCCAAAATAATGGATAGTTAGGGACCTTGGAGTTTGAATATGCCTATATTAAGAAGTCTTCCAAGATGGGTAAATGAAGATTTTCCAAGGGTATGTGAAGATTGCAAGGAATATCCAGGCAATATCCTCAAATCAATCAGAGGAGAATTTTAAAGGAATAAATTTCCAGATCTTCCACTTCTCTATGAAATATTTCCTTTCTGCTGTTTAAGGAAAAAAAGAAAAAGAAAAAAGAAATATCCCCTAAAACCAGGCCGGGTGCGATGGCTCATGCCCATAATCCCAGCACTTTGGGAGGCCGAGGTGGGAGGATCACCTGAGGTAAGAGTTAAGAGTTCAAGACCAGTCTGGCCAACACGGTGAAACCCCGTCTCTGCTAAAAATACAAAACCAGGTGTGGTGGTGCATACCTGTAACCACAGCTACTCAGGAGGCTGAGGCAGGAGAATCGCTTGAACCCTGTAGGGGGAAGATGCAGTGAGCCAAACTGGGCCACTGCACTCCAGCCCTGGTAACAGAGCAAGACTCCATCTCGGAAAAAAAAAAAAATACAAAAAATTAGCCAGGAGTGGTGGCCGACACTTGTAATCCCAGCTACTTGGAAGGCTGAGGCATGAGAATTGCTTTAACCCAGGAGGGGCAGGTTGCAGTGAGCCCAGATAGCGCCACTACACTCCAGTGTGGGCAACAGAAGGAGTGAAACTTCATCTCAAAAAAAAAAAAAAAAAAAAAGGCTCACACCTGTAATCCCCAGCACTTTGGGAGGCCGAAGCAGGTGGATTGAGAGGTCAGGAATTCAAGACCAGCCTGACTAACATGGTGAAACCCAGTCTTTACTAAAAATACAAAAATTAGCCAGGCATGGTGGTGAGCACCTGTAATCACAGCTACTTGGGAGGCTGAGGCAGGAGAACTGCTTGAACCCAGAAGCGGGAGGTTGCAGTGAGCTGAGATTATGCCACTGCACTCCAGCCTGGGTGACAGAGAGAGACTCCATCTCATAAAAAAAAAAAAAAAAAAAAAAAAAAAGAAAAGAAAACTTCTAAAACCAATGTGTTTGAGAGCCAGCTGACATATTCATGCGTACTCTCCATTCCACCATTATCCCCACTTTCACCATAGTCCTTGTCCTACTTTACAAAAGAAAGGACTATCCCTCCCCTACACTGAATCTTGATGCATGGTCCAGGGTGTAAAAACCTAGGGAGCTGGGAGGGAGCAATTATTTTCCACTTCATATCAAAATATTCCCATTGCAATCAGTCTTCCTATTTCATTCCACAAATGTTTATTATTTTCTATCTCCTAGTAAAAAGTGAAATTGCTAGCTGTTCAATTCATTATTTCTTGGCAAATAACAGCTTTCCTTTCTAAAAAATACAGAAGAAAAATTAGTGTAACAAGATTATTAGAGTTATTTCTGATTTTTAGACATGATTCTCATTTAATTGTTCCCAGAAGCTGAACAACAAGAGTTTGATGAAAGCAGGCACACACACATTTATCAAGGGAATATACGCCTTCTATATGACTTCTCAAAACTGATGAATTTAACTACACATTATACATTACATTATATGTATAATTAGGAATAATTATATAATGAGAAATAGTACTGTCTCTCTCTTTTTTTTTTTTTTTTTTGAGACGGAGTTTTGCTGTTGTTAACCAGACTGGAGTGCAATGGCACGATCTCCGCTCACCACAACCTCCGCCTCCTGGGTTCAAGCAATTCTCCTGCCTCAGCCTCCCGAGTAGCTGGCACTACAGGCGCACACCACCATGCCCAGCTAATTTTTGTATTTTTAGTACAGACAGGGTTTCATCTTGTTGACAGGGATGGTCCCGATCTCTTGACCTCGTGATGCACCCGCCTCAGCCTCCCAAAATGCTGGGATTATAGGTGTGACCAACCGTGCCCGGCTTATACTGTCTCATTTATTATGTTACTAGTAGGTCTACATAATTTTAATCTTAACTGGTTGCTTAGTGGTCTGTTTTACAAGCTACAGTTAATCACTTATTTCCTAACAATTTTTATAATATTCCTCAAAATGAATGTTAACATATTTATTTGAATGGAAGAATAAATCAAACATTTTTCTAACAGAAAGTAGGTCTGATTTGGCTGATTGTTTTGAAATGAAAACTGGCTTTGCCAATTCCACAAATGGCAGTTGTTTTCTATACAGTGAATGAGCTGAATCTGCATTACAGTTTAACAAAAAAATCCTGAAACATGTAATAATAAAAGAATTTTATAAAAAATATTGTTTTGGCAAAGAAGCATGGAAATCAATATCTGATTAACAAGGTGCCTCTGAGTATAAAGGTCACAGATAATTAATAATCGTGCTTAGTAAAACTGAAACTGAGACTAATAACTAGATAAATCCTTTTGGAAGTTCAGTGGTTTCTAATCCCTTGCTTTTAACAAAATTAAAAGAAGACTCTATTTGATAGTATTTGATAATATTAATAGATCACTCTGTGATTGTTGGCATATAATTTAGAAGTTCAGAGACTCAAAGAAATAATTGTAACAAATCTCTTCCTTTCCCAATGATGGAAACAAGGTTTCTCAGTGCTCATGTCTATAAAAATAAAAAACAGGTAAAGGATTGATATTGCACCTTATCTCCTTCCACCATTAGGTAATATTAATCCATGAATACCTAAACTAATTGGGGGAAAACACCATATTTCTCATTAAGAGATACATTTTTAATAAAAATTGTACTTTGTAGGTTTCACAAGTCATAAAAATGTTTAAAATATTTAATAAAATTTAGTAATATTTAGTAAAAAAAAAGTTTAGTAAATTATATATTATTAATTACAGGAAGTGAATGGAATTAGAAGTTTAAGGAGAATGAGAACTATATAAAATTTGTTAAAGAAGAGCTTGTTCATATATTTTTAAGTGAATGATGGTAGGTATTAGATGTTTAGGGTACTTGGAATCTACCGGATACTTTTTTTTTTTTTCTTTTTTTGAGACACAGTCTCACTCTATCGCCCAGGCTGGAGTGCAGTGGCATGATCCTGACTCACTGCAACCTCCGCCTCCCAGATTCAAGCAATCCTTCTGCCTCAGCCTCCCTAGTAGCTGGGACTACAAGCATGCACCACCACGCCTGGCTAATTTTTGTATTTTTAGTAGAAATGGGGTTTCACCCTATTGGCCAGGCTGCTCTGGAACTCCTAACCTCATGATCCGCCCACCTTGGTCCCCCAAAGTGTTGGGATTACAGGCGTGAGCCACCACAACAGGCCTTCTGGATACATTAAGAATGATGTAAGTCTTAGTTTAAGATGTCAAAATTTGAAATTGTATCCTTTATAAGTATTTAAATTAATGAAGGAAAATTTAGGAATCAACTTAAAAATGAACAAGCAGCACGCAGCTCTTCACAATTCTTTTATGGGTTCATTCTAAAAAATGTCTGAAGATCACTAGCCTATATGTTGAGGGGAAGGGATAGGACAGAAACTGCTAGCAATGGATCTTCAATATTGCCCTCCAAAATATCCTCACCATTTCTTCTGAGGACCTGAAATTACCTTCCTTTAGGATCATTACTTCAGATTCAGACAGTTCCCAGAGCTCTTGTTAAATGTATAATGGCAGAGGTGACTGGTCATCAGATTAGGATCCATAAGCAATGTGAGAAAGGACAGATATATACATATACATACATACATATATATTTTACTATGGAAAAAAAAAGGTGGTTGGAGAGGGACAAACTCAGGTAAAGCCTAAGTTCTATTCCCTGTTGTATTTCTAACCCTCAATTCGTATTATAAGAGGAGCTACTTGGCCTGGCGCAGTGGTTCACGCCTATAATCCCAGGTATGGGATTCCTATGGTTA